GTTTATGTATAAATCTATCTTATCAATTGATTAAGTGCTCTAAGATATATAAATCATTGGTGTTGACACTTGGCATATATTTGCAAATGACAAAGGCGTCTAATAAATAAATTGTTACTCTCAGTCACTATTATCTATCTATACTAAAATAATAAAGCGTAAACACACACTTCTTTGTTGCCGAAGATGTCAACAATCACAGCTATTATTCGAATAACTATTTTTTTTTAATAAAAAGCCCTATACTCACGTCTCGCTTTAGGCTATTATTTTCACGCCGTTAAACTTAGCGGTAAATGTTTTGGACAAAAACCCTAATGAGAGAAAGAGACCATAAGTTGTTGCCAACATCAAGGAAGCAAGGTTGCTATGGTTTGACATCATGTCATGTCATTTTGACATTTGCAATTGATAAATTGACACATGTGAACAATAAAATGTTTTTTTTTTATAATTTCATGCGGATGAAGTCGCATGGGAACGGCTAGTCGTTTATATACTTTGTATTTTTTAAAATTAAGTACAAAAGTTTCACCTTATCAAGTTTTTATTATTAACTCCCATGTTCTAGTACATTTAATTAACTTCGTATTTAATCTCTTTATTTTGGATCATAAACTAACTTTTACTTAAACTAAAATTGAAATTGCGAACGTAATGAAAAGAAACAATTGCCAAATCAATAAATCTTTATTGACGATATCAAATCATGGGGCTGGGCTAATGGTCGCGATGATCAGTTGGAGAGGAGCCAGCACTAACGAGTTAACGTGTGATTAAATGTTACTTTCGTTTAACTGACGTAATAACACGTGCAGTGAGACTTGTCCTGAACAGAATGAAGACTAACGAATGCTTCAATTGAGAAATCGTTTTACAGGTTTCTTTTTTAGAAATAAGAGAGGTAAATTATGAATCTGAAAGGATTGTTATATATTATAAGGTGGCAAACGAGCAACCTGAATCCACCGAAATGGAAAGCGACCACTGCCCATAAAAATCCGCAATTGCAGATGCGTTGCGTTGACGGAGGAGGAGACGCACATTTCCCCTTCCTATACGTCTCCTACATCGTCCTTAAGAAAAGGGTGGAAAGGGAAAAGGACTAAAATTAGGCCTCCAGGATATTCAACACTGGTCTTGTTTTTTTTACATAGTTAAAAGGGAAAACAATCGGTTCACTTTTTAAGATATCACAGATAAATGTAGACATCTTTACTACCAGGAAAACAGCAGATTGCCGGCGTTGGAGAAATAGTTTAAAGTTATAGTTAGACTTAGAAACAATAATTTCATTTTTAAAATTATAAACTAGTACATTTTGCTAAATTTACCGCACTATTGCATATATTTCTCTCAATATGTCAGTCGGAATTTGTGTCAAATAAATTAGTCCATCCGGTTCACAGATGTTATTACTAAAATTCGGTAAATTATTTATTTACATAACTAGTTTTCTGTGTTATTCTAGCTCACAGCAATATACGTCAAAATATCTTAAATACGTAGCTTACTAATGGTTCCAATTCGATATCAGTTTTCAGTGGTTCACTTTCTTGGAAAAAATAGTAGTAACTTATTGCTGTATCAAAACGGTAGGTTAAATTCGCTTTTTCAATAAAAAACTTAAACAAATGTCAACTTTTACAGAAGACGGCATTCGTTTGATATTGATTTTGTTTACGTAAAACGTAACGTTAAATGATAAATAGGTTATTTCCTTTTTTTACTAAGTTTAATATAAATCTAGTCTTTGTTTATAAACTTTATATACTTACTTAAAACAATATACTTACAACGCAATCCCATCGGTAGCATTATAGTTGTAAATACAAAGTCGCACCCAGCTCACATAAACCAGAGTATTTTGCTACGAGTTTGTATGTTAAACGTAAATAAATTTAGAGCAAGTACCTTGACATATTACGTTGAGTAAACTCGTGCAGTTTGTGAAGTCGTATTTAGAAAATTATTGTCGTTCCATTCATTTGGTACTGGACGTAAAGAACTAATTTCATTGCCTTTAAATTTTACAGAGTTACATGGTATAAACTTGTTATGATACGAATTAGCCAACCAAATGAAATATACTCGTATTTAACATAAATAATTAAGTTACATAAAGACACCTAAGGATCAAGTCCTGGCGGAGTCTAAGTTAGAAGTTATTGGTCAACCACGCTGTACCAATGCAAGTTGATTTTGTACATTCATTTGAATTTGTCTGTAGATATATCAAATTTGTACCACGATATTTAAGAGTCCGTTGCTTAAAACTTATAAGAACAAATTAGGTGAACAATATTGCGCCTTTGTTACTTTAATTTTGATGTACATACGAGTTAATTCGACCTTTAACTCTTATTTGAGTTTGATGGCTTTATCTCAATTCAGATCGCATTGAATATGACAAACATTTACCGAGCTTTTTCCCACAGAATGTTTGGCAGCTTTTCGTGAAAAACATCAAAGATATTTGGCTAATTTATATTGCTTTTAACATTATTGAGCATTCGTAGGTATTTAATTTATTAATATTAATCCCTCAAGCCTCGGAAAATTACTTTTCAATATGAATTTTCATAACACCGCACGTGCTTCGCGTAATGATTCAGTATATGAAGATATTTCAGCACCTTTTAGAAAGATTATAGTGGTGAAAGAAATTCCGAATTTCAAAAAATAGGAATAGCTCCTCTTGGTGGTCTGAAGGTTGTTTTGTTAATTATTTTTCAAGTGTATGCAATACTGAATACTTTTAACAAAACTGTTTCATAGCTATCCTCTAGCGTACTTATTCGAATTACATAACGATCAACGCTGAAGCGTTATATATTTCGCACGCATTACTCGACGTATGATAGTTAATTTAAATAGAAAAATTAAAGTGGCATTAAGATATAAATAGCCATCGATTCTTCGACATCAAAGTAGGTCAAGGTCATCCAACGTGTCTCAAAGATGTACAGCATACGGTGTTCAGCGGCGTCAGCGCACAGAATATCGACCGCCTACGCGCTGCCCGAAATAGACCAGACAAGATCTTGAAACACTACACCGTTTGCAACGCCAAAAGTACTAGCTAACAGCATACCTGAGTAGTATACCTGGCTAGGTATGCTTCGTTCGATGATGAGTGCACAGTCAAGGTCACAGGTCACAAACACAGTCACACACTTCACTCGGGCGAGTGGTCGGGGCGCGGGATGGTCGCGGGCGCGGTTGCCGGTCGACTGTCGGCTCCAGCGGCGCGGACACTGCGGGCTATACTTAGCTCGGTGGCGGCAGGACGCACCACGGCTGTCGTGACGTCGCCGCAAGGCCGTGTCGACACAACAAACCTTGGGGTGTCCTCGTCGGGGGTGAAGTGCTATGTCTATTGTCTGTTATTCTCTAATGTCATTTGTTTTGGCGTAGGAAGACCGCTCGATTGTAAGACAAGACTTGCCCGTATAGTTGATTGGATATTAGACTGGTAGAGACCAAAATTCAAAAAGTAACGTTGCAGCCTAAATTGAATAAGTGAACTGAAGTAAAGCAAATCTTTGCAACGGAAAATAAGCTCATAATATTTGGCAAAAGTACTTTTAGTTATTCATTTTGATATTAAAATGAGCTATAACAGTCCTTTTAATTACGATTCACACAACTGGAAATAGACAATAATGCGTATTTATTTATGGAGTTGAGTCAGAGACAACGCGTGTCCGCTAGGGGGTGCGTAGGCCTGTTCACTGACGCCTGAGTTCCCACTCACATTCTGAATGGGTTTCTCATTTTCAAATGCTAAGAATTTTCTATGTAACATACAATTTTTCTACTAATAATCCATAGTTGTTTTTATTTCTCTAACCACAGCATAGAAAAAACTGTTATAATTTCATTATTTACTATCAAAATAATGGCGCAATCTTATGAAGGTGTAAAAATGAGAATTTCTCATTTTGTTTAAGAAAACAGCTGTTTTTAATACGTCAGTTTTTTACGGTAAGTAGAGTATAGCCGTGGGACCTTTCCTTCGTAGCACTTGCTACGATTTTCTGTAGCTTGTACTTACTGACTATGACGAGTATTGTCCTTAATTTTTTTTTATTTACCAAGCAACTGTACGATATTACATTATTGTTCTGCTCACTCTCTTTCAATATAATATGGTATATCCTTCTCCGAGCGTTACAGAAGTAACTACAAACTTTAGATGACACTTACTTGTTTTCCAAAAAACTCTAAGCAGTATATTGGAAAACAAGTAAGTGCAAAACTCTAGTTTTATTATATAAATAAAATAAATAGCAAATAACACTTTTATAATTCGCCTTTCTGTGAATCGCAACCAAAAAACCAATTCTTGTATCAGTTATTGCTGTTTCTAGCTGTAATATTTTTCACTTAGTAAAAACACTTTTCAATTGATGACGTAGTCTCTAACATTGCTAACAATTGGCATTGCTCCACTCCACGCAAACACATGTACGTTTCTCCTAATTACCTGTGTCAGAGCGTCCGCAGTTTGCTAATCTGACACCTTGAGCACTACTCACTGACCTTCCTTACCAAATAATACATTTAAGAACGTTTACATTTACAATATTACCTTAAAAAAAGAAATCTATCCAGTATACAAGTGATTTTTTTATCTAGATAAAATTACGTAATTATTTTTAGTCCCTTTCCCTTTTCTTAAGAGGAAAGGATGGGAAGGAAAAGTGGATTTGACGGTGGAGGTGACGCATAGGAAGGAGAAATATCCTCTTTATGTCCGTCTCCTCCTCCATCAATAAAGGGTAGGCAACGCTGCAATTGCGGATGTTTATGGGCAGCGGTCGCTTTCCATTTCGGTGGATTCAGGCCGCTTGCTCGTTTGCCACCTTATATTATAAAAAAAAACGTAGTTACTATAACTTTAGATAAATGTAACCTTGTTTTCGGAATTAGTTAAATACAACACTCATATGAGTAGAGTATTTAAGTTTTTATTAAAGCGTTTTTTTAATTAGATGTTGCTGGCGACTTCATCCGCGTTGTATTAAAAAAAAATAAGTAAACAAATAAAAAAGTAGTAAAAAAATAGCCTATGTTACTCAGTGATAGGTTAATTTTGAGTTAAAAATATAACTCTTTCCTCTTTATAATATTGGTATGGATGTATGAAATAAAACGCGTTATGAACGATTACATGACATAACAGCTTTTACATGCAATTTGACGATTCCCGTTATTGCTACGTTTTCAGGTTATAGCCGTTTAGCTTTTATTATAATTGCTGAGGAAACTCGATTGCCCTCGATATGACGGCAATAAGGCGGCAATTGACAGGGATCATACGGCGCGCGCGGGGACTATTCTAGTATTTGGCCACCTGCCTAGAATTCGACCGGCGCCCGCGCATAGACGGCTACGACATTTCTGAGCGGTCTCCCTCGTAGGAGAAATGCTGTGTCTATATTTTACAGCAGGCAAAAAGAGATAAAAAGGATATTTTTATAATTACTGAACTAAATTGTTTTATAACATCGTAATTTATGAATACATTTTACTTCTATTTTAGTATTAACAATATTTTAATTCAAAACATTGTATTAATTTAACATCAAAGTTCCAAAATTAATTTGTCCGAAACATTACAAAAAAGTGGTTTATAAACTGTTCAATTTAACAGACAGTAATAGACATCTAGTGGTGCATTTTGAAATCAACAAGAGATTATACAATCATTTTCACGAAATAAAACATGTTTACACGCATAGATGTCGCTAATATTCTGGCTTCACCTAAGAGACTTTAGTTTCTAACAGAGAGTATAGGTGGCGCTAATGTTAATTACGTCCGTGACTAAAATATTCATATCGTTATTACGATTGTGGATGATTTTGAAACAAAACGGAACACAAACTGACCTGGAAGTATTTGTTAACGACAGGGTCTGTGGCAAGCAGGCGTTGCGCGCGCGGTTCGTCTCGGCAGTAGGCGGCGTGCTTGTCGAATTCTCGTTCCATGCGAAGCAGAGCGCGGCCCAGCAGCCGTGGTTCACTCGCGTAGTACTTCAGACCCTCCAATAAGGCGCTACATCACGGAAAACGGGAAAGCAAACATTTCTATTAAGGCTTTATAGACTATAATTTATGATGAGTAACCTATTGCAAAACAATTTTTGCATAGGCTTACTAAGACGTTGATGGGTTTAAAAATAGTAAGCGCAAGTTAAAGAAGAATAAACGAAAGTTTACGTCTATACATACGGCATAAAGGGTAATACATACGTGTTATGGAACTCGCAGATCTGCCTGAAGTTTGAGAAGAGCAGTTCTCGATTGTCGAACACTGTCTTGGGTGTGTGTGCCTTGTCCAGCGGGCGCATGTAGCGCGCCGCCACTTGCCGCATGTCACGCCCGAACTCCTCCTCCGTTTCTATCAGCTCTCGGACCACCGCCCTGACATACAGACACATTCATATATTGTAACTGTAGCCCCTCTGGTATTGCTGATAGATCACCACGGTTTTCCGGCTGATCATTTGCTTCCCTTTAATAAGACAACACTTTCTTAGTGTATATATCTTATCATGAACCTATCCCAATCTTTTTAGTTAAATAATTATGACTGTGGTAAGAGTACAACTGTAATTCAATACTAACCTAACGCATTTGAATGTAAGCGTTTCTTAAATTATTAGTTCTATGAATAGTGACTAACAAACAATAAATTTGAGTGCCATTAAGAATATTTGATAGGGCTATAATTCAAACCGATAATTAACTATTACGTAGGTGCAAAGTGGTCGTATTTCATACTATATTATCGCTCCTGACAGTCATTTAATCTCACTTAATAATTAATTGGATTTAACCATCATTTGCAGCTCTATGTCCCAGGCATTGTAAAAGTGTTGTGAAGATTTGCTTTGTTTGAATTCAAAAATAAATAATGATATTGCATAATTTTCCGTTACTTCCTAATATTAGGATTTGTGTACTTAAGAAGCAGACTGAACACAAATTATAAACCTCTGATTTTAATAGTTGGTTGCATCTTTTCTCTACCAATAAATTCAAAGATCTGCGAAGTAGAAGGTTAACATATTTACAGTTATTTTAGTAATTTGCGGAGATTTTGTGCATTAGCAATTACCTTGTGATTTGCCAAAGTGCTTCATGTGACAAAACGAGGATCAATCTTGTCACCTGTTAGCCTGTCGCCTGTCATTTTGTCACTACTATACACGATTAATTTGGTGTCAATTGTCAATTACAAAGTATGTTGTTTTGGTTACCTTGATGCGATTGATGGATCGATATTCTTAATTATATTTAAAACTGAAAGAAAAATGTATAAAAACTCAAGTTTCTATCTATGCACTAGTTTTTTTTTAATTTTCGATTTCTAACTTTAGCTCTTATTTTGTCTTATTTTTCGTCTGACGTCTAAAAGTAAAACATTATCCACGAAATTAACACATAATGCAGAAAAACGCACGAATTTATTTCCAAAATGGCCGCCCTGTATATCATTCTGCTGACGCAGGTGACAATTATTAACGAGCTTCGTAATTCAGGTACGAATACGTGGAAATAAAACCAAAAGGAATTGTTTCATATGTTTAAAACTAATATGAGACTCAAATATGACAAGGGTTGTCTTTCGTCATTAACCTTTCATATTAAATTAAATATTTTTTGTGACTTTTGAATGACATTACTAAATATTAACCTTTAAAACATATATTATAAATGCAAAAGTTTAGACGGACGGATGTCTGTTCGAGTTTGTAGCCTAAACGGCTGAACGGATTTCGATGAAACTCGGTAGATGTATTTCAACCCTCTCGGGCGCCCTTGAATCGGAATGCTAAACGCGTATCGAGTGACAGCCCAAGCCGAGGTCCCCTCTCGGGGGCCCTTGTGTCTATTCACTCCATGGAGCATCCACCGAAGCGGTCTAGGAGCTCGGTGGCCTCCCGATCCGGTAATAATAACGAAGTAACAGCTCGTGCCGAGGCTCCTGAGGGAGCCCTCGAGCTTAGTTACTCATAAACGAGGTTTAGGCTAAGCGCCATCTGCGCTCGGCCACCTCAAGCCCGGTGAATCTGTAAATGCCGTTTCAAGGCAAACAGTGGCTATTCAGTCCCAAAAAAAAATCGGTAGATGTAGAGGATAGTCTGGAAGAACACATACGCAAACCTTTATTTTCTTTAATTCAACGCGGACGGATGCGGAAGAAATGTAGTTATCTACATTCAAATATGTACATGATGCATTCCATTGCAGCAGTGAGGTTTATGACGCACAATTTATACCGTTATGCGTTTCCTGAATGTCAACGTTGACTCATTAACAAGGTACTTACAGGTCAGTGGATAGAAATTAATGACGCATACAAATATCATGCAACGGAAATAGCAAACATCTGCCAATGTGCAAACCTAATCTTTATAGAAGAATTAGTGACTAACCAATACAAGTGAAACAAGAAAATATACCATAATAATTTTCTCTTTATAATTTCTGGAACACAAACTGCTAGACACTGGCAATTCTAGATAGAGTAAGGAGGAGGGAGGGAAGTTGTCCGTAGAGGATCGTAAACTATAAAATACATATAAAGCCTCTCTGTATGTAACAATTTCAACTGCCAATCAAATACAATATCATGTTACGAATGCTCATTAAGGCTCGTCATTTCAGTCATCAGCAGCTTATTAACTGCTTGAAACTCTCCGTGTACAGCATCCTTAACATATTACATGTATAATTATGGTGGTGTAAAAAGTATTTTAGCATATTTTGAGCGGTATTTACGTCCAAAGTTCTGGTATTCGAGTCGTTAATCCATCGTCACGGTGTTTATTTTACACACCAATATATTACGTTTAGAATATTCAGAGCAGTTCCAAGTAAATAAAAGATTCCAGGCGTCATAAATCATGTCTATGGAAAGCCAAGCGATGGGCAGTATATTGCCAGTGGGTTTATGAGGCAATTAAGTATGTTGGCGTAGCAGAATGTTATGTGCCACTGGTTGGCATTTTCACGGCGGAATCGTTGACCGTTTCAATAACCGTCGGTCGTTTAATAAGAGGCATATAACTAATGATAGCTTTGTAACTGTATTATACGTTGAAACAAATGAAAGTAATGAGAATAGTATACCATAGGACGGAATAAAAGTAACAAACAAAATCAGAAACCACAGCCCGAATAGCGAGTCCACAAGTGACTCTATGTTAAAGGGGGAAGTGTGACTTTGTTAGACTTACTGCCTCCTGGCGGCGATGGCTATCTGATCAGCTTCAGGACGCTTCTCCTTGAGCAGGCTGGCGGGCACCCAGCCCTGGCGAGTGCGCAACTGCCCCTCTTGAACGTCCTCCACCACGCGCACAAGCCATCTGAAACACAAGAACAATCATAAATTACAAACATGAAAGTGATTTGTAAAGAACTTCAAGTGAAGACCCTGGGATCTCAGAAAACATGTATGATTTTTTTCTGGGTTATCGATTTCAGGTAAGACACATATAAAGGGGAATTTTTTTGTTTTTGAGCGTTTTCTTCTCCGTCGATTAAAAGTTGGTAAGTCATCTGCAAGGTGGTTGTCGCTTGCTGTTTTGCCACCTTGTATTACAAAAAAGTTTTTGAAGTAATAGTGTAAGAGGTCAAAGAACAACATCTTTTTTAGTTTTAAAAATATATTGTTGAACTAGTTTCGTAATGTTCTACAATAATAAAAATTAAAGAGACATGAAGTACAAAGCGAGTTATCTTTCATCAAAAAGATTTAGTTCATCGTACATCATAAAGCGGCGAGCGCTTTTATCGTCGGGGACATACGTTTTCATTATCCGATGAATATTTGTATCGGGTACAGTCACGAAAATAGGTCGACATTAATGTTCATCGGAAAATCAGTATAACAAAAAAGGTCGTGTACTTTGAAAACAAAAGATTACTTAAAACAGACGGTCCATTTTAAACACGTAATTTTACATTGAGTACAAGCAAGTACAAAGCATTGTTACGTTTGTATTTTAAAGAAGACTCAAAGACGTAAAGCTTGAAAACTCAAAGCAGTAATCGAACGAACATAAATTCACCTGACATCGTTACTAAGATCTATCGGAATTGAAAGTCTGGGTAGAAAACGATTGTTCTTTACAACGTACATAAATCACAGCACACGGTCGGCGACCCGGTGAGTTATTTTCTACTACCAACGAAGTCTGTTAATAGATTTACATTAACTGAAGGATACTTGATATGTATATACAGATTTTTTTCTTCCAAGGAAATCGTAAGGACGCTTGTATTGTCCAAGAGTTTTGAAATAAAAAACAATAGCGTTACAAATATATTTTAGAGCGCACATAATCAAATTGTATGGTTTATTTATATATATTTTAAAAGTAAAATTTGAATGATTTTAAAATTTCCACTTCAAATTGAGCAACAAATCTTTTGGCATATTTTTACGATCAATGTACTACAGCAGAATACATATGTCAACATCAAGATGTGAATTTATTGTGCTTGTGGATAGGACTTGTGAAATAATTCACTACATTGCTCTGAATTAGAATTTTTTATAATCATACTAATATTATTGTTAGTTAAATTAAAAAGCGAAAGTTTAGATGGATGGATGTTTGTTAAAGTTTGTAGCCTAAATGGCTGAACGGATCTTGATGAAATTTGGCATAGACGTAGAAGATAGTCTGGAAGAACACACAGGCTACTCAGTTTAGTTTTTTTTAATTCCACGCAGACGGAGTCGCGGGCGAAAGCTAGTTCTATTATATTTGTAATGAGTTTTTGCAATATTTATCATCTACTAAGTCTGAAAAAATATTATTAATATTAAGTCTTCATGTAAATTTACATTTACAAGCTTTTTCCGGCGACTTGGTTCTCGCGGATTAAAAAAAAATAATATGTATCCTTGTCCATATGTAAACGTTAAAACAAAAATTCTTAACCGTTGACAAAATGGCGAAAACAAGCATTAGACAATATAAAGGTTTTTAGAGATTGCAAAGTCCAACTAGCCGTGGTTAGGCAACAAAATGGCAGTAAAATCTATACAAAGCAGCACGATTGAGTTTGTTTACGTTAGTGCGATATTATGAGATGTTGCAACCGGGGAGCAGACCCGTCGGCTCCAAACGCAACAGCTGTCAGAATGAAGACTACAGAAATAAACCACACGACGAAGCAATATTGAAATCATATTGATTTTTGATCACTTTGTTATCGAACAAAAACAATAAATTTCCCAAACAAGATTTGAATAAAGTCTCAGTAAACTTTCTAATATGGACCGTGAATACAATGTCGTTATAGTTTAAAGAAATTAATCCGTAAACTAAGTAGAGAAAAAAAAAACCGTTTAATTAAACTCGCTTCTCTCTTTTATTAAATCCAAAACATTGTATCAAATACGACGAGAATAAGAACATTTTTATACCCTTCAAAATATTAGCAACCAATATGGAAAGATGAGTTACCCAAAAGTTGCATTTCAAGTGATGACAGGTGGTGCATAATGTCGTCAAAACATTTCAATAATTCTGAAACATATTTAACCTTTATGCATATGATCCAACGAAAGACATGGATATTCGAATAAAGTGGGTCATCTGACGTCAAATATCTGACGATCCTCTTTTTGATAAACAGCTTAATGTATATTTTATGTTTAATATATAATTTCATATCGCTATAAAGTTATTCTCGTTGAATGGCTGTCGTTAACCTCTAAGCTGAAGTTTGTAAAAAAGTTCATTTTTGTTCTAAAAATAAGATGTACAAAACTTTTTATGTAATAAGAATGCCTTAAATGCTACCATTTTACGGTTTTTTTTACGGCAAACAAGCCAGCAAGCCACTTGAATCCGCCAAATTGGCGAAGTGACCACTGCTCATAGACATTGCGTTGCCTACCATTAAGTGACGGAGGAGACGCCCATAAGAGGATGTTTCCCCTTCCTATGCGCCTCCTCCACCTTGAAATCCACTTCCTCATCCAATCCTTTCCTTATAAAAAAAAGGTTGGAACGGGAAAGGGACTAAAATTGGGCCACCGGCACCACACTCATCAGACAAAATGCGGAATCGCTCCCAATTCACGCCTGTCTTCTGTGTGTTTGTGGTATTTCACCGGGCGAGTCGATCCATTCGTGCGAAGATGTTAAAGCGGGCTATGTCTGGAAGAATACATATCATACTTATTAACTTTTTTTTTATTTTGTCCGGAAGGAGTCGCGAGTGATAGTTAGTTTATGTATAAAATCTTTAACTCCATAAAGCACGCGACGTGACGTGCGTGACGTGTCTCGCACGTTGACGCGGGACATGACAGCGCGACGTAACTAGAACACTTCCTGAAATGTGAATTTTTAACGAGAATAGGTCGCGATACTGACAATGTAAGTAGGGGTCAATGAACTTGCGGTCTTAGATTGACAGCTTCTGAAGATCAAAGATTTAAAATACTGCCAATGACTCTAAAATTGTATAATAAATCATTCTAGATACTCCTAGAACTTACAGCTATAAGCAGCATTAAGATGTTAAAAATTAATTAGAAAACTAGCTGTTGCCCACGACTTCGTCTACGCAATATTAAGCTTGTAATATGACCGTCTATGTCAGCTACCCTTCAGTAAAATTGGGGTCGAAATCGGCCCAGCGAAATCGGAGATTGTCCGGAACAAACGCGGCATGCGGACAAACAGACAAAAAAAAATTAAATCCCATTTTTGTTAACGCTACGCAACGTTTTGGCAACGCAAATACATCATCTTCCAGAAATCTGGAATTTTTCTTTTAAAAGTACAAACAGACAGTCCCATTTTATTACATGTATAGATAGATATAGATTATCAAGCGGTTGTTTGTAAAACTTTGAATCCGTGAAACTATTTCCTCCAGTTTTTAAGATCAACCGATTAACACCATTTAAAATTGCAACAGCATTATAGGTTATTGCCGGCGCCGGACTAGAATTATAATTTCAATAATAAACAATCCAGAATAAACCTCGATAATCCAAACAATGTGGAAATAATGCTTACAATAGATTTAAAATCAGGACATGTGTTCTAACTTTGTCTTATCTAATATTCTTTTTAGAAAAAATAAAGACTTGTAATAGGGATAAACAATCAATGTAAATCGATTGGAATGGCCTTCCAACAGTGGACGACATACGCTGATAATAATGAAATCACTAATGAATGGCTGAGGGCTAAAGTAGGTATTTGTAGAAAGTCAGTTTCCAAATGTTTTCGAGTTATCGAAAGCAGATAATAGAATCGCAAAGACAATATATGTGAAGCTATCACAATAGTAAAGGCTACAGTTTCCGCAACTTCATAATTTGCACGGTCATTTTTTTAGCAATGTTTTCGTTTATATCAATGACTAGCTGTTCCCATGCGACTTCATCCGCATGAAATTATTAAAATTTCATTTTATTGTTCACATTTGTTTTAAAATAGCAAATGTCAAGTTGGCAGCAAACTTATGGTCTCTTTTCCACATTAGGGTTTTTATCCAAAATATTTGCCTCCTAAGTTCAAAGGCGTGAAAATATATAGCCTAAAGCGTGACGTACGAGTAAGTGTAGGGCGGCTTATTAAAAAAGGAATCATTCAAAAATATGCTGACATCTTAGGCAACAAAGAAGTGTGTGTTTACGCTTTATTATAATATAAATTTATTATAATATAAAAAGCTATATATTCAACAAGACTGAAAAAAAGATCTCTATCGAGGTGATTCATCAAGTTCATTTCATATTATAATTTTATTTGGAGGTGAGATGTCTTTAGATTTGGTTACTAATAACACTTCCACTGAGTAGTATGCCAGAAAGGGAGGGTCACCTCTCAATTAACAAATTCACCTTGATTGATTTATATTTAAAGTATACTAGAAATAAATACACTCAATGATGCGCAGTCAAATTTCTAATTATCATTTTCACATCTTTATTAAAAAAAGAAATTACGTTACTGTTATTCTACGTTACTTTTATTACAAAAGTTTTTATAGATAAGTGGAAGAATTAACTTTCAAAAGTAAAACTACGAAAAGAAAGTAGAGGTTATGGCGGTAAATTAAGACACGGTCTTCACCACGTTCATAAATACAGTACACATATACAGAAAACAGGCGTGAAGTGAGAGCAATTCCGCGTTTCGTTTGATGAGTATGGTGCCGGAGGCTTAATTTTAGTCTCTTTCTATTTTCACCCTTTTCTTAAGAGGAAAGTATGGGAAGGTAGAGTGGATTTGACGGTGGAGAAGATGCATAAGGGAAAATGTCCTTTTTATGTGCGTCGTAGGCAACGCATCTGCAATTGCGGATGTTTATGGGCAGCGATCGCTTTCCATTTCGGTGGATTCAAGTGGCAGCTTGCTCGTTTGCCACCTTATATTACAAAAAAAATCTTTAGTCTTCTTATATAAAA